TGCCACCGTTTCCCTCGTGCTTATCTACAATGCATTTCATCATATTCATGGCAGTGCAAACAGTGTTGTTCATTGGCTATATCATGTATAGGTGAGTGTGTTTGTACTTAAAGACAGCAGGGCAAAGGATTTTAGAGCTTGTGACTGACCAAGTCATAGGCTAAACTAATTAGGATGGTTCTTCTGTTCTCTTCCTCCTCCTCGTGAAGCCATAATGTTGAAATGAAATTTGCATTGATGGAAAGGATAATGTACCATTGCTTGGGAGTCCTCCCTCCTGCTTCTCACACACCCTCATCAGAATGAGGAGTAGGGACCAAAATAGCTGTGCTGCCCTGCAGAGAACAAATGCTGTTTTCTGCCCCTGGGGAAGGATGAGCAGTACTGATATCAGAGCAGTGCTGCTGACAGCACCAGCTTTTGTGATGTGCCTGCTGCTCTGCAAAGTGCAGAGGGGGTGTTTCTGATGTGGGTAACTTTTGCCCATCAGCTGGAAGGATGGCTCCCAGGACAAAGGAGGGGCTGGGCCCCTCCAGTTCTTTTGGATGCCCTTGTGATTCCAGCAGCTGTGTGTGGTTGATCCTCAGTGTCTGTATCCACTAAGGAAATAAATATGTTCTGTGCCAGAACAAAAAGGAAATCCTATTTCAAGTAAATTCTTTCCCTGCTTAATTGCATTTGTTTCCTTTTCTGAGATGATCTGTAGGCCAGTCAGATAGTGAGAAGCTTTTAAAAATGCTAAAAGTTTTTTAAAAATCAGCTTGTATGTTCTTTCACAGTTTCTGGCTTCTGTCCAGAATGTGGGGTTTTTTTATTCCTTCTGTGCCTGATGCAAAATTGAAACAATAGTGATGCTACCAATGTCTTTGTAAATAGAAAACATCCTGTTTTTGTGATATGACTTTTATTTGATTTCCTTAAGTCTCTGTTGATAAGGAATGGAATCTTTTAATCCTCAAATAAATGACAATTTAAACCAGTTAGCTAGTTTTATGCTATAAGTACTTGAATTCTTTTCTGCATTTTTTTCAGGAGCCAACAAGAAGCAGCAGCCAAAAAGTTCTTTTGATGACCTGTTCCTTTTGTGTGTACATAAGAGCAGTATGTATGCACAGAAAATTCTACACTTCTGTAAATGAGGGAAATTCTAGTGTTCGATACACGTCAATATTGTAAATTATTGAATTTTGTTAAACAAAATGAGTTCTTATTTAAATGGTTGATGCTAAAGCTAAAAACAGACTGTGGAGCAGCAGAGCAAATGCTGGATGGGGGAAGACTGCAGACCCTGTCTAGGTCTGTGTTTTCAACCAACTTTCTCATCAGTACTGAAAGACAAATGCCCAATTCCTCTGCTTTTGTTAGGATTCCAGAGGAGGGAATTGAAGGTTTGGGGATTGTTCACAGTGTGATTTGCAGATGGATGATTCGTGCAGACAATTTGCTACCAAGTGTTCTGACATACCAGTTAAAAAAAAAAAGGGGGGAGGGGGAAGAAGACAACCCCCCCTGTTCTTCTGTAATTTTTTTGGCGAGTAAAAATTTATTATAAGCATTTTATTTGTTTACCACTTGGATTTAAAAGTATAAGAATATTTTTGTTAATTCTAACTCTTTATGAAATACAGATTTAAACACTTTTTAATATGTGAACACAAAGACTCTGACTGTTGATATAAAAAAACAAATTATACAGAACAAGCAAAGAAAGCCTTATGTTCTTATTTTGGCTTTTGGTTTTAGGCAGTGAGAGAAAATGTGATAAAGTAGTTTCTTCAAGTAGACTGTGGGCCTGATTTCTTTTTTTTGTAGTTTCAAGTCTGTCTGTAATTTTGTTTGGAGATTTGTGGAACTTTTCCAGCAAAGATTATTGCTTTATACCTCTTCAAATCTGATTTTATTAAGGATATGTTTAGTGTATGGATATGTCTTTACTTTTATAAAACTGTCTTGTGTCTTTCATGTATCAAATACAGATGCTTGGTTTAAATCTGGACATGGCAAGTGTTCTAAAGTACAGGTATTAGGTGTTAAACCGTTTCTTCACAAGGTGTTGCTTCAGACAGGTTTGTTAATCCAGGAGCTATTGCAGAACCAGTATTTTGTGTCAATTCCTGCTTTAATATCGAAAGCATAAGGCTGAACATGTGGTTTTGATACTGCTTATCAAATGAACATTTGCTTCAGGAAAGGAAAAAGCAGAGAGCCAAATTTAGGAATGTGAAATTAAATAATTTTGCCTTGTTTACATATCTGTGGTAACTTTGTCCTTGAGTTTTGTGTGTAGGGTTAGAATAGGTATTTTGGTGGATTTTAAAAATTCTATAAAATACACAAATGCATCAGAATATTTCACTTTTAACTATTAATTTGTTTGTCTGAATCTGCAAAAATTATCTGTTCTCTAACATGCTACTACTGCATTTCTATAGTCTACTTACTCCCTTGGAGTGCAACACATGCTGCCAAGTTCACTGTAATGAAGAACACTTCAGTATTGTGCCTGTCAGTTTGGAGGGATGATATATCTATGCAATATATTTTGCTACTTAAAATACAGAGTCCAAAAAGTGAATGCCTGTGCTATACCCAGAAAACAATCCTGCCTACACACCAGTTAACACGTCTGCAGGATGTAGTATTCTGTAAGTGGGGTAGCTTTAGAGATTCATTTCGAAATTGGAGAAGATTTTACTGTACTAATTGGAGAAACTACTGCCTCAGGCTAGTCTTGTGGGATAGATGGGTAAATCAAAGAAGAAAACCTTTCAGAGAAGCCAGAGTAACACATCAGAATTTGTCTGTTCAGTTCTTTCAACACCAGCAGATATTTACAGGTGCCTTGAGTCTAAGCTATTACAACCCTGACTCTTCTAACTAAATCTATTTTCTTAACTTTTTCTGAAGCTGTACAGTGTTGTTCCTTTCAATCACAGGCCTTCTCCCACCAGTGCAACATCCCAGCAGAGCTGCTCCTCTCAGAGCAGGCTTTGCAAGGCCCTTGGACAGGAGGGCTTGCCAGTGTGTTTTGTAAGTGGGTGCGTGTACGTGGGGTAATGAGGAGCAGCTCCGATGTATCCATTGGGAAAAGCCTGTGTTTTTGTTACTGTGAATTTATCCAACCATAACTCTGTTTTAAAGCTGGAGCAGCCCATCCTTCTGGTTCTTTTGTCAGACAGAAGAGAAGGCTGGGCATGTCTAGGGGAAACTTGAAGCCTACAGTTGTACCTTCAGTAGGAGGCTCAGCTCATGTGTTTATGCTGCTGCTGGATCGGACACGTCTCCCACGGGCAGCTGGGAAACTTCTGCTTTAGGGAGCAAGTGGTCCAGAGCAGAACACCAGACAACTGATAACTTTGCTTCATGCTTCATTTCACAGTTGCCTCTCCTTGGAACTCCCATAATTGCCTCAGCACTCACTGGATCTAAAGAAAGCTCCCAATTGCCCAGCTCCAATTTCGTCCTGCCTGTCCTCGAAGTGATAGCAACAAATTTGGACTTTAGGAATATTTGTCAGTCAAGCTGGCTACCAGAAGTTTCTTTCAACACTGGTAGTGTGGTTCTTTTCTTATCAAGTAAGATTTCACAACTTAGGAGGAGAAGACAACTTGGAATCCAGTTTGACAGTATGAGGGAGAACAAGTCTAGTAATTATATTTGAATTGTGGATGATAAGTAGCAAATATTTGGCAGTGACAAGAGAATCTGATGGTCCTGGTCAGGGTATATTAAATACATGGTCACATCTGAATCTTTCAAAAGTAAAATGCACAATACGGTTTGTAAATCACCCGTTTTACAGTTTGTAGTTTACCTGCTATGGTTTGTAACTTGCTATTTGAAGAAAATTTGACATTTCTCAATGGATCAATTACTGTAACAGAAGAATTGTCTACTGGTTTGTTTTTTTTATTTTAAATTCAAACGGCTGACATTTTCATATATTTGTTTCTGACTAATGTAAATTGACACTTGGAGTTCAGATATAACCTTATTTGAATAAAGATGCATATTTTTAGTAAGCCTTTTTCTTATCATTTGGTGCATGTCCATGAAATCCAAGCAAGTGCCTTTGAAGCATTCTTTACCCTCTGTTCAGAGCCTGACTGCTCAGAGATCCAGGGTCAGTCCTGCCTCATACTGGGCAGTTAGTGGCATTCCAAGGCTCAATTCCCTCTCGGTCATTTTTCCCCCAGCCAGGAGCAATTTTTTAATAAGTGGAGGAGAGGAATCTTGAATTGAATCTGCCCCCAAGTGAGAGAAGGTTCTTTTCAGCGAGCACCAACAGCACAGAGTTTAGGAGGTAACATTCCCCATCCCCTTGGAGAAGACTGAGCCCTGCCACTGGAAGTGTTTGCAGAGTGCCCAGCACAGCACACTGGTGCTCCCTGTGCCAGGGGGAGGATTTTCAATAAAGGGGAACCAGCCACTGCCAGGGGACTCAACAGGCATTTGGCACTAAGTAATGGTGCTGTGGGACAGCATTTGAACATTTAGTCGTGCCTGTCACAGCGCAGAGAAAATGCTAACTATATTTATCTCAGACTTCTCTCGGAGTGTGCTCACTTTGTAATCAAGGGCGGAGTTGGTCACGGGCCAAAAGTTTATTCTGCCCACAAAGTCTTGCAACTTATGCATAATTCTGAAAGGGCACAGTTATTATAAAAATGCATTTTGTTTTAAGAAAAATGCTTTCTAAGGTATTTGTAGTATATCAAAGTAGTTTCATTGTTATTTGAAATTCATGCTTCTGAGTAATACTCAATTTCAAAAAGAAACTTAAAGTTTCTTGTTTAATCACTAATAATCCAGCATTAGAGAACATCCTGCCTTTTTTTCTTTTTTTTTTTTTTAATAGTAATAGGTCTGCTTTAATTAGAAAGGCTGTAATATAGATTAAAGCATTAAGCAAACTGGAATCCTCCCATCTCTCAGTTCTCAGTGAAATTATGAGAGTGCATGGAGAACCATTTAGATAATCAAAATTACAGAATGTTTCATTAAGGCATGTGCAATCAGTCATAGCAGGATGTTCAAAACCCCAAATCGTGACCTTTTGTGACCTAGCAGGTGATTTTCTTTCCCCAAATAGTCTGTGACCTAGGGAGCAGATCCTGCAAAGCTTCACCTGAATAGACCTGGCCAGTCTAATAATGGGAAGAAAAGTTTGGAAGATGAGGACCTACAGAAAGAACCCCCAAGCAAAAGGCATCCAGGCCGTATCACAGCACACAGAATCAGTCAGATAAACTGCTCCTGTCCCCACAGTGCTGATCCACGTGGAGACAGCCTGGGGAAGAGCTGACAGAAACCCAAGGGAAACAAAATTAGGAAGATCTGATTTGCTTTTTTGGGGGATTACATTCTTGGAAAAAAAGGCATCGTAGCAGTAATGCCCCCTTCATCTGTGAGACAAACCAACCACATGAAAAGTGGATGAAGGAAAACCACTCAGCGTACTTTCTGTCCACTGGGATAAAATTTTAATGGATAAAAAGCATCAGGTTTTTTGCTTAATGAAGAATCTCAGTTTTCAAATCCCATTTATTGTGTAAATACAAAAGTATTTCCACTCAGTGGCCTGAATTTTATGATTTTACTGTGGCCTTTTAGTCAAGCAGGTTTGTAATTCAGAGGTGGTGTGTTCCAGGGAGTGTTTTGGTCTCTGTGAAAGTGAGAGAGAGCTTCAAGACTGAAGACATCAAAATGCTATTGCACACTATCATTGATTTGTGTGTGTGTACAATTAGCTTATGGTATTAATATAAAAAGTAGGTAGCTGCATCTAATGGTTTTTTTGGAGTAATCTGAACCATCTGCCTCTAGATATTAAGGAGTTCACTCTTTAATCCAGATTATGGCTGACAAACTGGTTTTGGCATTCACGTTTCACTAGCACTGTGCCCTTGAAGAGCTGATGTGGCTGTAGAAACTCTCTTGCTTACAACTGTTGGTTTTAAAAGCATTTTTGCTTTGGCTTTCTCATAGTTGTTTGCTTATAGTTAATTTTTTTTTTTTTGAGAAGATGGCCTTTCTAATGAAAAGTATGTTGAGCAACCAGGTAAAGAATTTGGGACTTGGAGGTGGAGGGGAAGAAAGCAAAGAAGAAAGCACCCCTTCTGACCCAGCAGCAGCTGCAGGAATGACCAGAGAGGAGTATGAGGAATATCAAAAGCAAATGGTTGAGGAGAAGTGAGTACCTGTTCCCTTATTATCAGTATGGGGCTGATTCTTGGTAACTTTGTGCAGATAAAAATAACCCAAGAAAAAGGCAAACGTTCAGCTCTTCACTCTTTTTTAAAGCAGATGAATCTTTGCTAAAAGGACTTTCCAAAATAAAAGTTCACCTACTGGAAATGATAAAATATTATTTCCCCCTCCCTGCCCCCCCGTCCCCATCCTGCAACTGCCTCCCTGTGCTTCCCTGCTCTCTCCACAGCTTGATGTGCTGAACTCATTTCGAGGTGGTGTTACTTTATCTAGACAAATTTTCCAAGCTCTTTGTAGTGCAGGATTTAATTCTAAAATACACGTGATTTTTTCTCCTAGAACTCCATGTGGAGTACACTTTCAATACATAATATTTCTTTGCCTACATTTATTATGGCAAACATGAAAAAGTACCGAGTGCTATGTTAAATGGATTATACTTATCTAGAGCAGAGTTTTAATATGGCTATGTCTTCTAAAACCTGCTAAATAAAGCAGAATTGGTTAAATCTCAGTTTTGTCCGTAAATGCAATCTTTACCATTTGTGTGGTGTTTAAAAATGAAAACAGAAGTGAAATGAGGACTTGGCTTGTAGGAGTTCAAATCATGCATAATTATAAATAAAACGCCTGACTTTTAAAGCTCAGATGCATCTGTTCCTCTAATGGTCAATTACATAATGGTTGTGTAAATCCCCCTTGTAAGATGACAGGTTAATGACTGACGGAATTCGAGGTATCCAGGTCTGTATTTAGCATC